CTGCTGGGGGCGGGCACTGACCGGCCTGCAGGGTGGTCAGTGACTCCGACTCCTCACTGAACTCGCTGTCACCAATGTCATTGGTCGCCTTCATTCGGAACTTGTAGGACGTGAAGGGCTTAAGCCTGTGGGGGGAAATCAGGCCCAATGAGCCAAGGTGCTCCTTAAAACCCTCGCCCCGTGCCACCACCAAGGAGTCTCCCTGATCTGCCCAGGGAAAGGGGTGGGGTGCAAGTCCACTACACAGAAGGGAACACTGAGGCTCAGAAAGGAGCTTTGCTACAAAACGGACAAACTGGAATCCAGCCCTAGGGGTCCCATGTACCCAGACCAGGTCCTCCAGACCATGCCAGCTCGGGGAGCCTTTAGCCCCAGTTATAAGCCATAGCTTCCCGAGAAGGAAAGGCCTGCAGATTCCTCACCTCCTAGAACCATGCAGCCAATGAAATCACCAGTATCTTACTCTCCAAACAAACTCCTCCCCTGCGTCCCAACAAACTGCCAGCTCTTTTTTGTTTGTTTAAGATGGAGTCTTTTTTTCTTTTTTCTTTCTTTTTTTTTTTTTTTTGAGGCAATGTCGCTCTGTCACCCAGGCTGGAGTGCAGTGTTGTGATCTTGGCTCACTGCAACCTCCGCCTCCTGGGTTCAAGCGATTGTCGTGCCTCAGCCTCCTGAGTAGCTGGGATAACAGGCGCGTGCCACCATGTCCAGCTAATTTTTGTATTTTAGTAGAGACAGGGTTTCACTATCTTGGCCAGACTGATCTCGAACTCCTGACCTCAAGTGATCCTCCTGCCTTGGGCTGCGATTATAGGTGTGAGCCACTGCGCCCAGTCTGTCTTTCTTAAATGTAGTAAATTAGAGAAGCGTTGAGGTTCTCAAGAGTTAAGCAGTACTTCCTCTCAATAAGGCTTATTTCCTCTGGGAGCAAACGTCTCTCTTTTAGATTTATGGGGGATGGGAGAGGTAGGGAAGAAAGTATTGCTCAAAACTCCTGGTCACGTCAACTGGAATATAAAAAAATACAACCCACTCGGAATTAAATTGAAGCTAGAGTTTCGGAGTGAAGCTCCACTCCCCTATTAAAGCTGGAGAGGTAGAGGCTGCCCGGCTGGAAGAATCACTAATGAAGGATGACAGGCACTTCACTAAAGGGGACTTCTGGGCTCCAGAAATAATATTGAAGAGGCACTCTAACAGGGTTCAGGAGGAACGGGGCGGGGGGGAGGGGGGAAGGAGGGGCGGGGGGAGGGGGGAGGGAGGGGCGGGGGGGGGGGGGGAAGGAGGGGCGGGGTAGACAGGGTGAGAGCGGACACGGAGACCCCTGGGCGGTGTGTGCTAGGAGGAGAGCTGGGGGCAGGCTGGAGGTGTTCTCAGAAGGCCCCCCCCTCCCCCGACCCAGTGGACCTTCTGACAACAGCTGGCTGATGTGCTGGTCCTGGCAGGGTGAGGGACGGTGGGGATGCTGGCGCGGAACCCGGCCTCACCTGTCCACAATGAAGCTGGAGGCGTTGTGGCTGACGGAGGCCGAGTGCAGTGCCCACCTGCCGCTGGGCAGCTCGCGGGTCTGGATGGTGTAGTAGCGCACAGGGGACAGCCCGTCGCTCCCGGGCTCCCAGGACAGCAGCACGCTGCGTGCTCTCACATCCTCCTGCTGTGCCACCGGCCTGCTGGGGGGCTGCGGGCGGTCTGGGAGATGGCAGAGGGGGAGGAGCAGGTGAGCCAGCTGGCCCAGGGCGGTGGAGGGGGCTGGACTTTCTTCAGAAGGAAAGGAGGAGATTTGGGCTCAGGCCTGGCATCCCCTTCCCATCCCAATTCCACGCACGCAGGATCCTTGCAGCTTCCACACCTGGGTACAGCCAGCACCTCTCTCTGGGTCAGAGGCTCCCCCTCAGGCTCCTAGAGCCCCAGGGCCTGGGAACTTACAGCTCCTCAGGGCAGCTCTAAGCAGGGATTGACAGTGAGGAGGGCAAACACCCACCCCGCTCCTTTGCTCCTGCCTGAAATGAATGAGGCCAAGTGGGGCCCTGCTGTCTCCCAGTGGAGCTGGATGAGGCCGTTTCCCTATGAGGGACACTGCTTCAATCCAGGCCCCAGCTTGGCTTCCTTCTCTCCCCAGCCTCACTGCCTCCTCCCTCCTGCGGGGCTTCTCAAACCTCAGCATTACTGAAACTCAGAACACATGACTCTGGTGGGGGTATCTGTGCTCTGCAGGAGGCTTAGCAGTGTCCCTGGCTTCCACCCATGCCAGTAGCACCCCCACCATGTGACAACCAAAATGTCTCCGGAGAGGGCCAATGTGCCCTGGGGCCAAAGTAGTCAAGAAGTGCTGTCCTACTGGTTTTTCCTGAGTACATTTTCTCTTCCTTTACCCCTTCCCTCCCTCCCTCTCTCTCTCTTTTTCTCTTCCCTTCCTCCCTCCCTTCTTTCTTTCCTTCCTTCCTTTCTCTTTCTTTCCTTTCTCTCTTCCCTTCCGTTCTTCCTTCCCTTCCTTCCTCCCTCTCTTCCTTTCTCTTTTCTCCCTCCCTTCATTCTTTCACTCTCTCTTTCCCCCACCCTCTCTCCTCGCCCCCCTCCCCTTCCCTCCCTCTCCTCCCTTCCCTCCTTCCTTCCTTTCTTTTTCTTACTTTCTTTAAAACACAGACAGGGTCTCTATCTGTTGCCCAGGCTGGAGTGCAGTGGCACCGTCAGAGCTCACTGCAGCTGCAAGCTCGTTGATTCAAGCACTCCTTCTACCCTGGCCTCCTGAATGTCGGGACTACAGATGACACCACCACATCTGGTTATTCTTTCTTTCTTTTTAGACAGTCGCGCCCCATTACCTAGGCTGGAGTGCAGTGGTGCAATCTCAGCTCACTGCAACCTCTGCCTCCCAGGTTCAAGGGATTCTCTTGCCTTAGCCTCCCAAATAGCTGGGATTATAGCACTCACCACCATGCCTGGCTAATTTTTGTATTTTTAGTAGAGATGGGGTTTCACCATGTTGGCCAGGCTGGTCTTGAACTCCCGACCTCAGGTGATCTGCCCTCCTCAGCCTCCCGAAGTGCTGGCATTACAGGCGTGAGCCACTGCGCCCAGCCTTTGGCTAGTGTTTCTACATTCTGTAGAGACAGGGTCTTGCTATGTGTCCCAGGCTTAGAATATTTTCTAATATATCCCTTCCAGACCAACTGGGATCCCAGGTTTGCTTTTGGGGAGCCCAAGGTCAGGCAATGTGGTAGCTCAGGGCAGCAGCAAAGTGGCAGCTGGAGCTCCAGGCTGCAGCCCTGATCCTGCGCCTGACCGTCATGGCAAGGCGAGGGCTGCTGGGGGGAGAGGGGAAGATGTCACTAACCCTCCCTTAATTAATTAATTAGTTAATTTAGAGATCGTATCGTTGTGTCACCCAGGCTGGAGCACAGCGGTGCAATCTTGGCTCACTGCAACCTCTGTCTCCCGGGCTCAAGTGATTCTCGTGCCTCAGCCTCCCTAGTAGCTGGGATTACAGGTGTGTGCCATCATACCTGGCTAATTTTTGTATTTTCAGTAGAGACGGGGTTTTGCCATGTCAGCCAGGCTGGTCTCAAACTCCTGACCTCAAGTGATCCACCTGGCTCGGCCTCCCAAAGTGCTGGGATTACAGGTGTGAGCCACCATGCCTGGCCACTAACTTTCCCTTTACAAAACCAGACCAGGGCAGGGTCCCTGGGAGCGGAACTCCCAACTCCTGTCTGGGAGTCTACTAGACCCTTCACTGACTTTGACTGCAGAGATTGGAGCCTGCCCTCCGTTCTCACCCAGGGCACTGTGACTCATACCACCATCCACTAGGAGTGGCTCAGAGCACTGGCTGGCTGTGAGTGTCCCCTCAGCCGCGTCCCAGGCCTCCCCGGCCCCTGTGAGCAGTCACCTCTCTTCTCGGTGGTCACCACCAAGGCCTCGGCAGCCTCTCCCCAGCCCTTTCGCGTCTGGGCTGTTATGCGGAACAGGTAGACAGACTCCGGCTTGAGGCCCATGGCTGTGTACTGGCGGGCGCTGGGTGCCAGCACCTCCACCGTGGCGGTGTTGGCCGTGGTGGTGTTGAGCCGGTGTGTGATCTGGTACGCTGCGGGAGGAAGCACATGGCTATCATGGCTAGCAAGGCAGGCTGCCCCCAGCACCCTGGGAAGGGCCGTTCTGTCTGAAGCCACAGCTGTGTCGGCACCTGGCCACCTTGCTGTGGCCACCTTGGCTGTGGTCACCTTGCTGTGATCACTTTGCTGTGGTCACCTTGGCTGTGGCCACCTTGGCTGTGGTCACCTTGCTGTGATCACTTTGCTGTGGTCACCTTGGCTGTGGCCACCTTGCTGTGGTCACCTTGCTGTGGCCACCTTGCTGTGGCCACCTTGGCTGTGGTCTGTCTGCCTGAGGCCTCTGGGCCGCTCTCCCGTCTTCAGCTCCCACCTGGGGAGGGTGGACTGCAGGGGGCATGGAGAGGCACTCTATGCACAGTGTCTGTGACCCCCATAACAGCCCCAAGGGAAGAAACTGAGGCCCAGAGAGGCCAGACCACCAGCTAGTAAGTGAGCGAGCTGGAACCCCAGCTGACGTCCTTCTAGGTGAAAGCACTTGCTCCCCCGCCTCCGCTCTGTCTTGGGAATGTGGCATCGCCCTAAGGCAGGTGGTACATGAGGTCAGGACTAAGAACTCTGGGACGGGCACCGGTAGTCCAAGCCACTATTTTAAAGGTGAAGGGACTGAGGCCACAGAGGGAGCAGACTTGCTCCAGTTTACGCAGTGCTGCCCAGAACCCTGGGTGTGTGTGTTGGGGGAACCCTGGATGCATGTGTTGGGAGAACCCTGAACTTGAGATGAAGTGTCCCCTCTGCAGCCCCCCTCCCCTGCGCCTTGGGTCTGCCTTCCAGCTGTGCTGAGCCTGCCAGTGTGTCCTCAATTGGCCATGCTAAGGAACAGCATCCGAGGTTAACCAGATGGCCAGGGGGCTGGGGACTGGGGACATTCGGGGAGGCAAAGCCAATCCATGACCCTTAAGGGACTTGAAATTTGATCTTGCCCTCCAGAAGACAATCTTACAGGCTGGAACTTCTAACAGGATGACTAACACCCAGATCCCAATTTAGAGGGCACGGGGAGGGCAAAGGCTTACCAAGAATGATGCCGTTGGGGGCAGCAGGGGGTTGCCAGATCAGCCGCACAGACGTGGTCCGCACCTCCGGAAACAGAATGCCCATAGGTGGTCCCGGGACTGGAGCAAGCAAAGGAGAAGAGGCCTACCCGTGAGACTCTGCTCAGCTGGGGATG